ACACGGAAAATATCATTCTCTCACGGGATAAGCGAAACGGCCAGGGACAAAGGGCCAATGCGGAAACGCTCTCTATCAATGCCACCCTCTCGATGCCCCGCTCTATGTTGGAAACGATACTACGAACTAAGACGGAGGCCATAGCAATGAACCGATCGAGACATGTAGGTAGGTCTTGTGTTATCGTCATCAGATGTCAGTGCTCAGTCATGATTTCATGTGAACGTCTCGTAGAGAAAAATGATGATGATGTTGATGTACCTACCCACCTTCAGAACAATGTAGCAGTCTCCTTCGTAGAATTTGCCGTACTGGTTCTCAGCATACGGCTTGACTTCGAAGTCCTGAAAGACAGAAAAGGCGATCAGCAGTCAGCACCTATAAAATGTCCAGTTTTTACTTCACACTAGCTTTTTCCGTCACGCCAGGCGAAGCAACGTTACCTAATAACGGACTGAACTTGGCACCACCGGGTGACCGTTAACGAGTGAGTGGGTGTCAGTTCCACGCCAAGTCGCCAAACGGTCCGAAACTGTCGCGGTGTCTAGCGACCGTGGCGGCCAGCGCTGAGCGCACCGGGACGGGACGGGACGGTTACCAGATGGACGGGAAACACACCTGAATCGAACGGTAACCAGGCAGGCGAAACACCGAGCTCGAAGAGTTCCCAGCCGAACGAAACCCAGGCGGGAGTCCGGGACGGTTACCAGACGGACGGGAAACACCGCGACAGAACGGTTCAGCAGCAAAACGAAACTCCGGGACGGCACGGTTCAGCAGCAAAACGAAACTCCGGGACGGAACGGTTCAGCAGCAAAACGAAACTCCAGCACGGAACGGTTACCAGACGGACGAAACACCGGGCGGTTCCGTGACAAAAAAAAAAAATGATGGACGAAACTCTCAGATTGAACGTGACATATCCAAACAAGACACGACATTCTTACCTATTTCTTATAGGTATAAACAATGTTTACCTTTCTGGTCTTCTCTTAGTCATGCTCTGTTTCCACCCCCATCTGTTCATTTTCTCCACTCCCCTCCTCTCCTCCCCTCTCTCTCATCCTTAGCCGGCGGCAGCGGACCGCATCTCCGCTCCGTCGGCCGTCGGCCGGCGACCCTATACCGTGACCTTGGTCTCTGAGGGACCACGGCCCCTCCCCTCCCCTCCCACACGAGTTCGGCCACGGGAGGGGATCAATGCTACCGGCTAGATAACGAGCCCGTGCCGGGCGTGTCGCTATCAGAAACAGAAGGCCTGCTGTCTCGGGCTGGGAGCATGCAGGGATGCGGCGACGCGGAAACGGTCCCGGGTCGGGGTGGGGTCGAAAAGCCGCTAGCACGGCTCAGGTTGGCTACCGTGCAGCCAACCATTGAGAACTGTAAAAGCATTTGGACAACTTCAAGATTCCTGGTCAAAATAAGTTAGCAAAAGTTGTTCAGCTCAGAAAGTATGGTAACTAGAAAGGGCTATGAAAACCTAGCGAGTAGAACCAAGGTAGCAGTGCAGAACCGAAAAAAACGATCTTCAGTATGTACAAATACAAGACATACATAACGCCTGGCGTAAGTTGAATACCTATAGAACAAAGAACAAAGACGGACCACTGCATACCTAACTGTCTCAGCCGGAGGTGGGTTCTCTCCCACGGCCACATCGCCGACATCGCCGGTCCCACCGCGTGGCGTCTGTCAAGTGTCTGCCGACGGGGCGGGGGCGTGGCACCCCTCCCCACCAGCCACCACGCAACAACGCAAACACCGACAATGCCCAACGGCCACCCACCTCAATACGCCAGATCCACAGCTTGGCCTCCTGTCCGACTCCTTCGAAGGCGGGGTTCATGTTTGCTGAGCGGCTGAGTTGAGAAGGGTAGCAGACACGTTCTCACCGGGCCGGTTTTTGGGGCGCTGTGCGCCGGTGTTTGCAGACAGCGGTCGTCGAGTAGTTGGAGCCGGCGCCCGCCAGAGGCGCCTCGGTCGCGGTGACTCACGCCACTCGGCGCAGACACGCCCGCCGACGAACGGCGAGGGCGACCGCGAGCTCTCGCCACGAGACTGGAGGGGGCCGCGGGGGGGGGGGATAGTTCGTCGCAACTACACCGACAGCTAACGATTGCATTAAAACTCAAACATTGATAAGGATAACATGATCTACGAAACGTACGTACGTCTTCCTCGATTTTCGATGTCAATGACCCTAGGTCAGAGGCCAGTTTCACCAATAAAAAACAGACGGCTGCGATTATTTTTTAACAAAACGATAGTCTAAAAATGTCATTTACTGCTAAAAATACTAATCGCTGACTTGAAAAATGTAATAACGTAGCTTTTAAGTGCTATCTTATCTGGTCAGCAATTACTTTTCCCACTGGTAGGTAAATAGGATTTATAGACTATCGTTTTGTCAAAAAATAATCGCAGCCGTCTGTTTTTTATTGGTGAAACTGGCCTCAGGTCAGTTGTGCCTGTGCGACCTCTCCATTAAAAGCTAACCAGGCACAAATTAATCCGCGCACCGACAGAGGGCGGATATCCGCCCCCCCCCCCCGCCCCCCCCCCCCCGAGGTTTTTCGTAGATAGCGGGAAAACCGCGGCGCGTATCGCCGCGAAATTTGGTACGACTATTCTCTCATCATTTTTACACATGGTGTGCAAGTTTGAAGTTTGAACCTCCTAAGTCCTAACTTTTAAGGTCAGGTCACCAGGTCACTTTGAATGACCCAACCTTAAGTCACTTTTTTGCAACTTTGTCACCGTGCCAGAGCTACAGTAGATGTCGGAGGCCCTTGAAAGTCGCAGGATGTTATAAGATCATTAGTAGCTACAATTTGTATATCTCGGAATTTTGATATCGATGCCCTAAGGTCAGGTCAATTTCTCGACCTTCCCATTATAAGTCAATGGGGGGAAAATCAACTCCCTGTTTTCACCACTAAAACGGGTCGGAATGGCCCCATAAACCATACATGACTTCATATACGATCAAACTCCACTACCTTGAGGTCTGTTTTGCTGTTGGGCAGCTGTAAGGTCATGTGACGTCATCAAAGGTCACCAAAGATTTTTTGCCAATAACTCCGTACAGGAACAAGATACAGCCGCGCGGATGGTCTCATTGCGTTCAGCTCGTCAAGGCGCATCGAATGATATACATGATGACCTCGAGGTCACGTGACCTGAGGTCAACCTTTGACCTTGACCTTTCGAGGTCAACATATATGTATATATCATTCGATGCGGATTGAAAAGAGGATCACGATGATACACTTAGTTTTTTTCCTAGCTTGACTAGTTCGAAAGATTTTTCGAGAAAAACTCTCCATACCTAGCGCCGCCATTTTGACTTTTTTACCCCTGTGACGTCATCTTTGACCTGACCTGAAAATAACCTTCGTAAAAATTGTAGACCTTGTCCGTGCGTATCCCCTGCCGTTTACCGCTTGTCGCTATCTTGCTTCGTTCTCGAGATCTCGGGGGGGGGGGCGGTCATCCGCCCCACCCCCCGTCGGTTCTAAGTTGGCGCCGCGGCTGGCGCAGACCAGCCGTTAAGTTGTGTGCGGGTTAAGTTGTGCCAAGCCTAAGGTGCCCATGGGCCCTGACAGGCCTGTGATACCCCGGACAGGCCTGTGGTGTCCTTGCTAGGCCTATGGTGTCCATGAGCCCTGACAGGCCCGTGGTGCCCCTGCTAGGCCGCAGGTGCCCCTGGCAGGCTTGTGGTGCCCCTGGAAGAACTGTGATGTCCCTGACAAGCCTGAAGTGCCAACGACAGGCCCGTGGGCCGTGGTGCCCCTGACAGGCCCGTGGTGCCCCTGCTAGGCCGGTGGTGCCCCTGGGCCTTGACAGGACTGTGGTGCCTCTGACAAGCCCGAAGTATCACCGACAGGCACGTACTGCCCCTGGCAGACCTCTGGTGCCCATAACAGGCCTGTGGTGCTCCTGGAAGGACTGGGGTGCCCTTGGCCCTGATAAGCCTGAGGTGCCCCTGACAGGCCCGTGGTGCCCTTGCTAGGCCTGAGGTGCCCCTGACGGACATGTGGTGCCCCTGGGCCCTGACAGGCCCAAGGTGCCCCTGCGAGGCCGGTGGTATCCCTGGCAGGCCTCTGGTGCCCCTGGCAGGTCTGTGGTGCTCTTGCTACTTGCTAGGCCGATGGTGCTCCTGACAGGCCTGTGGTGCCCCTAACAAGCCTGCGGTGCCCCTGACAGACCCGTGGTGCCCCTGCTAGGCCTGTGGTGCCCCTGGCGGGACTGTGGTCAGTGGTGCCCCTGCCAGGCCTGTAATGCCTCTGATAGGCTAGTGGTACCCCTGGTAGGCCTGTGGTGCCCCCGGGCCCCAAGGGGCGTCATGACTCATGTGACCTCCCCCCCCCCTTGGATCCGCCGAAAGGAAGCATACCACCTATAGCATGGGGTTTGAACTGAACTATAGCAGTTTTGTAGCTTGAGCTGCGACTAGCACAAATCAGCTAATCATGGACAACACCATCCATCCGAGTTCGACGCATATCGTCAAGAGCAAAAAGATAAAGGTCGTTCTCCTACACGTACAAAACGTCACGGATTCTCATAATTTAACCGATGAACGAAGCTAATGTTGTATATTCTGGCCATTCATGGTCTATATAGAACAAACTATTTGACGTGAGGACTGAGATCAATTATCAATCTGATCAAGCTGGCCAATCAATCTGACCGTACACCTCGGAAAGCTTCACAAAAATTATTGGCCGTCTTTTGTAAGGAATTACGGCGCCGTTTTAACACGATAGCAAAAGTATGATATTTACAAGTGCCGAAATAATATTTTTTTTTAGGTATCGAGTATCAATGGAAAACATGACGCATGGCGTATTTGCCTCCACTGGCGGCCCTGCTGAAGGAACTGAGAGTAAACGGTAACACCAGCATTCATGCATCGTTCACTGGAGTAGAGGTTCTATGGGTACGGGTTTACCTTATGTTGACAATAGCTGACCTCCTATACTCAAAGACAATATATAACAGTATCGCTTTTGTATATTTTACATAGGTACACGAGTACATACCAACGACGGACATGTGTCGCACGTCGCACAAATGGCAATGTCCCGTACGAAATTGATCATTAATGGAATTAGGCGATGCAATTTGCGAACAAAAAGGCACCGGGAGTTCACATTGCAAGGGACATTCAGTGGGCAGGTGATGTCAACTTAAGTACCTACAACCATGTATATAACAAGCTGAAATTATTACACCAATTCTTCTTGAAGCTTTATTGTTTAGTTTTGCAATCTCCCAAACGAGCTACCTAACGAGCTATCTATTGCCTCTGTCCAGCTCCATTCTCTCCCAGACGAGAGATCTCTTGCCTCTGTCCACCTCCATTCTCTCCTAGACGGGAAATCTCCTGCCTCTGTCCAGCTCCATTCTCTCCCAGACGAGAGATCTCCTGCCTCTGTCCAGCTCCGTTCTGTCCAGGACGGGAGATCTCCTGCCTCTGTCCGGCTCCATTCTCTCCCAGACGAGAGATCTCCTGCCTCTGTCCAGCTCCATTCTCTCCCAGACGGGAGATCTCCTGCCTCTGTCCAGCTCCATTCTCTCCCAGACGAGAGATCTCCTGCCTCTGTCCAGCTCCATTCTCTCCCAGACGAGAGATCTCCTGCCTCTGTCCAGCTCCATTCTCTCCCAGACGAGAGATCTCCTGCCTCTGTCCAGCCCCATTCTCTTCCAGACGAGAGATCTCCTGCCTCTGTCCAGCTCCATTCTCTCCTAGACGGGAGATATCCTGCCTCTGTCCAGCTCCATTCTCTCCTAGACGGGAGATATCCTGCCTCTGTCCAGCTCCATTCTCTCCCACACGAGAGGTCTCCTGCCTCTGTCCAGCTCCATTCTCTCCCAGACGAGAGATCTCCTGCCTTTGTCCAGCTCCATTCTCTCCCAGACGAGAGATCTCCTGCCTCTGTCCAGCTCCATTCTCTCCCAGACGGGAGATCTCCTGTCTCTGTCCAGCTCCATTCTCTCCTAGACGGGAGATCTCCTGCCTCTGTCCAGCTCCGTTCTGTCCAGGACGGGAGATCTCCTGCCTCTGTCCGGCTCCGTTCTCTCCCAGACGAGAGAGCTCCTGCCTCTGTCCAGCTCCATTCTCTCCCAGACGAGAGATCTCCTGCCTCTGTCCAGCTCCATTCTCTCCCAGACGAGAGATCTCCTGCCTCTGTCCAGCTCCATTCTCTCCCAGACGAGAGATCTCCTGCCTCTGTCCAGCTCCATTCTCTCCCAGACGAGAGATCTCCTGCCTCTGTCCAGCTCCGTTCTCTCCCAGACGAGAGATCTCCTGCCTCTGTCCAGCTCCATTCTCTCCTAGACGGGAGATCTCCTGCCTCTGTCCAGCTCCATTCTCTCCTAGACGGGAGATCTCCTGCCTCTGTCCAGCTCCATTCTCTCCCAGACGAGAGATCTCCTGCCTTTGTCCAGCTCCATTCTCTCCCAGACGAGAGATCTCCTGCCTCTGTCCAGCTCCATTCTCTCCCAGACGAGAGATCTCCTGCCTCTGTCCAGCTCCATTCTCTCCCAGACGAGAGATCTCCTGCCTCTGTCCAGCTCCATTCTCTCCCAGACGGGAGATCTGCCTCTGTCCAGCTCCATTCTCTCCCAGACGGGAGATATCCTGCCTCTGTCCAGCTCCGTTCTCTCCCAGACGAGAGATCTGCCTCTGTCCAGCTCCATTCTCTCCCAGACGGGAGATCTCCTGCCTCTGTCCAGCTCCATTCTCTCCCAGACGGGAGATCTCCTGCCTCTGTCCAGCTCCATTCTCTCCCAGACGGGAGACCTCCTGCCTCTGTCCAGCTCCATTCTCTCCTAGACGGGAGATCGGCCTCTGTCCAGCTCCATTCTCTCCCAGACGGAGCGCCGGTGTCCGTCGTCGCGCCGCGCCCCGCCCGGGCCGGCTGCCTCCCAGCGGTTCACTTCTGACGGCGGCAGACGGCGGCTGCGGGAGCACGTCACTCTCGGCCCGGTAGCCGTTCTCGTCGGCCACCCATCGCACCTCGATCGGCACCTCTCTGCCCGCCCTGTCCAGCGTCACGTACGAGTAGCTGCCCTGCATGACGATGCCGAACTCCTCACCGATCTGCCTCAGCTGGCCGGAGACCTCCTGTCTGATCCGGTCGGCCGTCTCGAACGCGTACTGGAACGAGCCGTCCTCCGCCTGGGAGGACTCCATGCGGAGGATACCGGCGTCCTCCAGAGTGGAGTCCAGGGCCTGGGGTCGGGCGGTGACCGCCGCGGCTAGACACCCAACCAATAGTAGCTGTAACGGAGGCAGAGGGACATCAGATCGGCCGCTGGTTAACATGCAAGCTTTATCCAAAGGAATCGGCTCATCGTAAAAAAAAAATTGTCATATAAATGGGTCATCCAAGGAAGAGTCTTGACCAAACCATATGTATTACTTACATTAACCAGGCTAGAGGCTAGCTCGAAATGAGCGATTACTAGCGACTTGTTACATAAACCGTATATGACATTCAGTATTCCATATTCCCAAACCCCAACTGACTGCTTCCGGCAACGCTCCCGTCATCGAGCTCCGTCACTCACCAGCTGCATTATCCTGAGTCTCCTTCAGATGTCGTACTGGCAGTTCAAACCGTCCTCTCGGCCTTTATACGAACGCACCGAGGGTCACATCTGCCCCATGTTGACACCCGCCCCGTGACTGGCATTGGCTGCAGATCTCCACATCCGGAGGTGCCCCGTTCAAACAGCTGACCTGACCACAGACGGCCGCCGGCCGCCCGAGTGGCGGTTGGAGTCAGCGCTTGTACCCAGCTCGGAGAATACCAATCAATAGCGCCGACAGAGACGTGGCGTAATGTCCTGCATTTACACAGCCGTCTCCGAAGGTCAACCCGCTGCATATGGCACAGCACAACGTGGGGGTGTGCACACCCATCCCTATGTATGTAAGTGCGGTTTCCAAGTAGGGTTCCCACTATGCATAGTCATGCTTCTGACAAGTGACATATTTTGGTTGCAGTTGAAGTTTGTGTCCTAACTTTGGATGATGAGAAAAACAACACAAATAGGTAGTTGAGTTCCCGTGGAGGAGATCTTTTTCCCATCCCTTCTTACATCTTTCCTTCGTCTAATTTTTTCTTTCTTCTTTTTTACAAATATTGCATAAACTTAAACGCTCGGTTGACTTTGACGGCTGGTTCAGTGGCGGCGCCACGAATTTTCGCCAGTGGGGGCAAGCTTGAGACTGACCCGACTGTTGTCTGATAACGCCGATCTGCAAAATCCATGAGCACATTGTCCCTAGATGTTGTCATTCAAAATTATTTTGGTTTTAGGTTTCATGCATAGGCGTATTGAGTTTAACCATTAACCCTCGCGGGCCCGGAAAGGGGGGGGGGCATTTTTCGCCTCCCCTGGCGAATATTTGCGATACCTCACGAACGCTTAGGGATAGAAAGACGAAGCTTGCTGTACCTTATCCCCCATTAGTTTGACATCTTTTGAAGCAAAAAATTTGGACCTAGCCTCCTTGATAATGTCTCAGAGCCGATTTTTCTAGACTCCTGCACGGCAAACTTCGTCGTCACGGACGTGAACTTCAACCAGCTGCCAAAAATTGAGTTTTAGAGATAAAGACAAATTACGAGCACGGTTGTGTAGCATTTGACCCAGAAAAAATACTTAAGTAACTTTGGTGACCTGAGGTCAGAGGTCAGGGCAACGACCCCGAGCTGGGGCTTTAGTTTCTTTTTTTCGCAAATAACTTCAACAAAAATGGTTCTGGAGCTACGGCAGTGGTACCTTCGCATTAGTCTTGTCGAGACGCGTCGAATGACATATATATTGTTTGGAAAAGGTCAAGTTTTATGTTGACCTCATGTGACCTCGAATGACATTTGGTTGATTTTTTACACATGGAAGGTCATTTGTGATGATTTCGTAGCCGCGGATCACGATTCTTGGCCTCTGGCATCCATTTTGCTGTAAGCATTCATTTAGAGCCTCAGTATGGCAAAACATGTTTTAATTATTATGCCTGACTTGAATAGTGAAATAGCCTCTAGCAAGGATACTCTCTTGTGACTTTGACCTCGTAGCAGTCTTGTATCGTAAGCTTAAGCACAAATAGGGGTCCGCTAAGCTTGAAAACATATCAAAACATCTCGGAATTTAGTATACAAGATATAAGAAAAAGTGCAAAGTTTGTGGTCAATTTTGAGCATGATCGTGACCTTGAAGTTGAATGTTATGCACATCATCGGAATCCACGGATTCTCTTCTTTTGTTCAACATCCCTTTTAGCCGATTTTATGCACCATGCCGTCCTCTGGAACACGTACTTTGAGACCACTACATTAATGCCGGTTTTTGCCTTTGACCTTGAATTCTGACCTTGAAAACTGACCTGAGGTCAAAAAGTTTCGGTGCTTTAGAATCTTCTCATAGATACTTTTCGTTTGGTACCATTTTTGTTTCAGTAGCTGCCTTATTAACGGAGTTAAACAGGGGGGGGGGCTACCCCGGGCTGCGGTGGTTAGGATTACCCCCGGGCCGCCCGGCCGAAATAAAACTATAAAACTAGATTGCGAGACACAAACCTGTGAAAACTACTGAAAACGTTATGTTGTTCGTTGAGATGTAAAATGGTGTGTTCCTCAAAACTATAGTCAGTACCTATTTCTCATTTTCCCCGTAGTACGTATATATGTGCGATTCTCTCACATACGATTGATATAGGTACGAGAATAAGCTCCATTAGGGCGACCCACATACAATTCCAGATAACCCGGGATATACATACCTATCACATTTTGTCATACCTCTCTGAGCTCAGTCTCAGTCTAAGGGTTCCCAAAAGAGGGTGATCTCTTCTCTGGCCGACTTTTGATAAACTGCTTCTCAACCTCCTCGAGATTAAGCTCTAGGGCAGCCTTTTGGTGAATGAAAATGAGTAGGAGAATGAGTGGGAGTACGAGATATGCGACAGACGGTCCGAGAACGAACGTTCTGCTGACGCACTTGATACGAGGACCGTCAAAAACAGGCGTACTATTATAACCGCCTATAATGAATGTTGCACCGGTCTTCTGTTCCCATACATCAGCCAAATTTTGTGGGGGCAAAAACATAGTCTTGCCCCCACGGCCTCCTGCCAGTGGGGGCAGTCTGCCCCCACTGCCCCCACGGTGGCGCCGCCCTTGGGCTGGTTTCCTGGAGAAAATCCATCTAAATAGGTAAAAAAGCATAGAGACCGGAGGCGCGACACGACGTTTCCGAAAAAAGGGGGGGTCCCCTTCCATTGCCCCCTCCCGGGTTCCCCGTTCCTGCGCCCATGTCCATGAACTGAATTCAAAAATATGATTTCAAGCTTTTCCGACTAGACATCTTAATTCAAGGTACATACGGTAGTAACCGAAAAAAACGTTCCTTGAATAAAGATGTCTAGTTGGAAAAGCTTGAAACAATAAACGACTAGTAGCCGAAAAAAAGCGTACCTTGAATTAAAAAAGCTATGCCAAACAATGTCAACATGCTCTCGTGGCCGTCCAAAACGCAGAGAACGAACGATGCTCGTTTGAGACACGAAGCCCGACAAGGTGAGGGTCACCAGGTGTTCTAAGCATTTGGTAGGCCAGGGACGGAATACCGCTGATGGGTTATTCGATGACCATATCCACGACCGCTACCACGTGTGATATAACCATGAGGTTTACCGGTTTAAAAGGCCCGATTTCCAACAGCTGCGATCGGGCATAGCATAATCGAATATCTGGCCACGAGTTCCGACCAGGGCTGCTGAGTCGGAGTCGAAATCGGTCGGAGTCGACAGTTTTGACCGGAGTCGCCAATCGGAGTTAATTTTGGAAGTCGGGGTCGAAGTGGGAGTTGTATCGGTCCGAAGACCGAAACATTCATCGATTCGACTCCGTAGACCTACCAAGTGCCAGGGCTGCGGAGTCGGAGTCGGGGTCGGGAGTCGGAGTTCGGTCTGAGTCGGAGTTGATTTTGGGAAGCTGGATTTGGAGTCGGAGTCGGAGCCCCCGAAAATAGGTACATCGACTCCGCAGCCCTGGCCCCTGGTTTTGACGATTGCCCCGCCCCTTCACCTCAGCCGCTCCACTGGACTGGCTGCTGCAGCCTGCAGCCGTCATTGGCTCATGGCCATTGGCTCATCACAGGCTGCAGCCAATGGCGGGTGCAGCCTGCAGCTGTCATTGGCTGCAGGCTGGAGCTCCTAAACAAAAATGCTTTCACTGATTCGATTTTCGAATATTCGTCCAGAGAGAGTACCAAACCAATGGGCAGAATGGGCATCACAAAGGAATAAAGAAAGGAATGACTTCATCAAAAGCTTCCAAATGAGCTGCCATATTGGGTCAATAACTGCGCATAAAAGACGCTTTCCAATGTGACTGTTGGTGTTCTATTCAAAAGTCTTTTCCATGCTGTCAACTCATCGGCATTCTCTGTATTTGACAAATTCATCATTTTCAACGTAGCTTTGGAAAAATGATAGCTTTGTTTTTGTGAGCTATCATAAAAATGCCAATCTGAAAAATAGATAGGCCAACATTCTTTCAATCAATTGTTTTGAGAAACTCATCATTGTCCGCTAGCATGTGCCTACTTCATGAAGTGAACACACCAACGCTCAGTTGGGTATGTTTTGGCATTGGTGATATTTACCGATATTTACCTCGTGAAAAAGCACAGTGCATGTAAGTAAAAAGAGTAAAAAAGATTTTGGTCACCTGATAATTAGCCATGTTGATTTCATTGGGCTCTCAGACTAAGTGCACGAACAACTTTCATCTTGGCTTAACATGCAGATGCAGCAAAAATCAGAACCCTGAATCAGTTTGGACAATCCTTTCATTCTTTCATTCTCATTCATCTCAATGTTGGTCTGGAATGCAAACCTACCTATCTATCTATCTAATCCTTGCAATTGACTACCTTGACCTAGGTACCTATCAAGCATTTCCTGGACTGAGCATACATGATTTCCTCGACTGATTGTGTGTAACCTGCTGTGTAGGCCAGCATAGCCGACCCAGTGTATTTCCTTTCTGCAGAGACCAGTTTTACCAACAGAAAAAGCTACCTGCCAAAATTGTTTGCCTAAAGACCGCTTCACATACCTTTGGTAAATCCTATCCTCTTACGCGCCCAGCGAGTCTTACGCGCCCAGCGCGTTTTCGCGCTGTATGTGGAGCGGTCTTTATGCAAAAAATTCTGGCAGGCGGCAATTGTTCTGTTGGTAAAACTGGCCTCTGAACTTGATCTGTGTAGGGATTCACTCAAAGCCTGGCAAAATGCATTATGCAGGACACATTGGTTTGTAGTTTCCTGGAGGATTGTGTTTAGGTAGTGTAGCTTGGGCTCAATGTTCACTGTTCACTGTTCAGCCACTGCCACCTTCTTGGCACAGTGTCCCAAAATTGATTCCTAGCTGGGGTGTCAGAGGAGAAAATGAACCCTTAAAAGGGGGGAGAGTATAAAAGGGCTGGTTATTCAGATCCACAGAGTGGAAACAGACCAATGGCATGTTTTACTACAAAGTATAGAATGTATGAGTTCAAGCCGAGCACACACACAACTGCTTTTTCTAGAAAAAAAAAACAAACCTTTCTTGGTTGGGAGTGGAAAAATTGCTCCTCAAAATTGATGGTGAGAGTGGAAAATGAATTTTATTTGGATGTCATTTTCCACCCAAATTGACAATTTTTGGGACACTGTCTTGGCATGGCCTGAATCTGATTGATGTTGTGTCCGTGAAGTAAGTATGATGTTGATTTAGCTAAAATGAAACTTGACTTTGGCACTTAGGAATGAATGACAATATTGCTGTAACATTCAAAAAGTTTCTGGTTTTGCTGAGATAGCAATGTTGAATATACAGCTCCCATTCAATTAAATGAAAAGGGGAATGTGGTTTTAGTGGGATGTTTGCATCAGTTTGAGTCAGTCATATATCATTCCTGTCTTTTACATGGATCCTTAATTGTTAACCAGTCTTTCTTTTGCGGTGAACAAAGGAAAGCACTCAACACACAATTTTTT